TGCTGCTGGTCCTGCTGCTGCTGGTCCTGCTGCTGGTCCAGCTGCTGCTCCTGCTGCTGCTGCTCCTGCTGCTGCTGGTCCTGATGCTGCTGGTCCTGCTGCTGCTGGCCCTGCTGCTGCTGGCCCTGCTGCTGGCCCAGCTGCTGGTCCTGCTGCTGCTGGTCCTGTTGCTGCTGGCCCTGCTGCTGCTGGCCCTGCTGCTGGCCCAGCTGCTGGTCCTGCTGCTGGAGCTGCTGTGGTCCATGGGACTCGCTTGCCAGGAGGTTGTTGTGATACCGTTTGCCCGGAGGAGGAGGAGGAGTTTGTAGTAAGACCAGGAGAAGCAGGGAAACACGATTTATGCACATGCCAGCTCGGTGGAGAAGAGGAGGGGGAGGAGGGTTCGTTAGGGAACAAGCAGGTTTCGTCGTCGAGGCTTGAAGCCTTGTGCAGAGAAGCAGAGGAAGCGTTGCAGATCTGCGCTCTTCTGGAGAGAAGCGAAGAATTGCCTGGCCTTTGAGCTGTCTCTGTTGATGGTTCACAATCGATACCCTACTCCACTCAATCAAGGTAGGTAGGGTCCCATGACGAGCATCGGTCAATTTTCGTACAACATAGTACATAGATATTATGAACCAATCAATCAATCAATCAATCCATCAATCAATTGATTGATCAATCAATCGATCAATCAAGCAAGCAAGTAAGTGTCAGGTCTCTCTCGAGTCAGGCCGCTACTACGGGTCATACTAACAGTACGTACATATTTTGAACCAATCAATCAATTAATTAATCAATCAATCAATTAATTAATTAATCACTCACTCACTCACTCACTCACTCACTCACTCACTCACTCACTCACTCACTCACTCACTCAATCAATCAATCAATCAATTAATTAATCAGTCAATCAATCAATCAATCAATCAATCAATCAATCAATTAATCAATAAAGCAAGCAAGCGTCAGGGGTCTCCCTTGAGTTAGGTCTCTACTACGGGTCCTCTGACTAAGAATGAAGCAATAATTTGACCCGATCAAGCGGCCAATCAATGAATGAATATGGTCGGTTTAATGGCAACGGTTCATCAAGAGGCCAATCAATGAATGAATCAGCACAGCGTGCGATTATAAAGTAATCGGAAAGTGAGCAGTGGATGGAATATAATGGCTAATAAGCAGGCACTGAACTCATTAATTAAGCAAGCAAATGAGGCACGTGAAGTAGGCCAGCAAATTTGATTTGATTGCTTCCCTGCTTTACGTGCTTGATTTGCTCGCTTCATCACTGACTTGACTGCTACCTTCTTCACCAGAATACAACGTACGGTGATTATAGCTGTATTTGGGGTATCTTTCCGTCTACATACAGAGCAATAATGACCGCGTACGCGGTCATTATAGCTATATTTTGGGTATCTTTCCGTCTACATACAGAGCAATAATGACCGCGTACGTTGTATTGGGGTGAAGAAGGTAGTTTAATTACACTGCCTTGATCACGTGCATTTGGGCACCTTTCTAGGCAAGTACATGAGGCTTTGCTTGCAGGAAATTGGCCACAGGATTCAGATTGGTTTGGGAGCTTCCATGGGTAGTCTCCAGGGGACCCTAAGTAGCGACGCCATTATGCAAGGTGTGATTGTTCAAGGAAATTGTGCGAGGATTAAGCAAGCAGATTAGGTAAGACAATTATTTGCGTGAAAATCAATCTTTGCTTCCGTAGTAGGATTTGTTCGGGAGCTACCCCCATAGCAGTGTAGGATTTGTTCGGGAGCTACCCCCATAGCAGTGTAGGATTTGTTTGGGAGCTACCCCCATAGCAGTGTAGGATTTGTTCGGGAGCTACCCCCATAGCAGTGTCGTGTGGACCCTAAGGGACGACATTAAGCGAGGAGGACATTATTCAGGGAAAGTTATTCAAGGAAATGATTCAAGGAAATTGTGCATGGAAATTGTGTGCAAGGATTAGGCAAGCAGATTAGGTAAGACAATTTGCGCGATCTTCCATAGTAGGATTTGTTTGGAAGCTGCCCCCAATAGTAGTCTCCTGGGGACCTTAAGTGAGGACCTTATGCAAGGGAATTGTTCAAGGAAATTGTGCAAGGAAACAATGCAAGGAAATTGTGCAAGGAGTTTAATGCAATGGCATTGTACGAAGTGGGGGGGACGTGCAGCGGCTTTGCTCGCAGGAACAGGTACAGCTATGTTACCTCATAGAAGAACCACCACATTCCCTCACATCCCACACAACCTTTTAGAAAAAGAGGACAGAAGCGCAACCACAGAGGGAGGAAGGAAGAGAATAAACACAAAGCAGGATGCGGATAACACAAGTTGTGTGTGTGTGTGTGTGTGTGTGTGTCTGTGTGTGTGTGTGTGACACTGAATGTGCATATTCTGTGTGTGTGTGTGTGTGTGTGTGTGTGTGTGTGTGTGTGTGTGTGTGTTTGTGTGTGTGTGTGTGTGTGTGAGAGAGAGAGAGAGGTGTGTATAGAATACTCTGTGTGTGTGTGTGTGTGTGTGTGTGTGTGTG